AGTCTGCCAGCATGCAGAGAGAAAGGCCAACAGTGAGAGATGAGCTGAGAGAGAGGAAACAGACACACAGACACCTTTTTAAAAAATCTATAGCACCTTTGGGGCGCCTGGGTGGCTCAGTGGGTTGAGCGTCCGACTTTGGCTCAGGTCATGATCTTGCAGTTTGTGGGTTTGAGCCCTGTGTCGGGCTCTGTGCTGATGACTCAGAGCCTGGAGCCTGTTTCAGATTCTGTGTCTCCTCTCTCTTTGCCCTTCCTCTGCTTGCTCGCTGTCTCGCTCTCAAAAATAGATAAACATTAAAAAACTTAAAAAAAAAATCTATGGCACCTTTTCTTGGATTTTAAATGAAGACATGAAAAAAATTTAAGGTAAAAACAAATATTGAAATCCACCAACCTCTGAATTTCTGTGAGATTACTCACTCTATTTTTCTTCTCTATGTCCCCTGCAAATAACTGTCACTATTTTGTAATGATACTCTTTCAAAAGCTAGTTAATCGAAAAATTTTTTTCTTCTCTCATTAGAAAGCTAAATTGTCTGTCCTGTGATAATTACTCACCCCTGAATACTTCCCAGCTTGGTTTCTACTTTATCCAGACTCACTCCATCTCCCTCACTTAGGGTTCTTAAAAATACTTGTTTCAAAAAAAATCTTAAAAAAAAATTTTTGTTTTCAACGTTTATTTATTTTTGGGACAGAGAGAGACAGAGCATGAACGGGGGAGGGGCAGAGAGAGAGGGAGACACAGAATCGGAAACAGGCTCCAGGCTCTGAGCCATCAGCCCAGAGCCTGACGCGGGGCTCGAACTCACGGACCGCGAGATCGTGACCTGGCCGAAGTCGGACGCTTAACCGACTGCGCCACCGAGGCGCCCCACAAAAAAAATCTTAAAACGGTCTTTAGAAACTCTGTCTCTGCCTCTCATTCCAATTATCTGTCAGTAACTGAAGTTAACCCTCCCTCAACAACAAATACTGGATCTAACATGGATTCTCCTGTAATTTCATTACATATCCTTTAAAAAAATTTTTTGTTAATGTTTATTTATTTTTGAGAGGGAGGGAGAGAGAGACAGAGACAGAGAGACAGAGACAGAGAATGAGTGGGGGAGGGGCAGAGAGAGGAGACACAATCTGAAGCAGGCTCCAGGCTCTGGGTTGTCAGCACAGAGCTAGATCTAGGGGCTCAAACTCACAAACCCATGAGATCATGACTTGAGCTAAAGTGACTAAGCCACCCAGGTGCCCCTCATTACATATGCTTCACAAGGATTCATTTATAGTCTTAAATGAATTAAGAATTGAAGTGTGGATTCCTGAAAACATTCAAGTCCCTTTCAAAAACTATTTTTGTAGTAAGAAGGAGAGGAAGAGAAAGGGGGGGGAGGAGGAGGAGGAGGAGGAGGAAGGAAGGGAGAGAGGAAGAGAAGGAAGTACCGGTAGTAGTAACAGTAGCCTGGGCTTTGTTTTTTGTTTGTTTGCTTGCTTTTTAACATTTATTCATCTTTTGAGAGATGGGGGGGGGGGGTAAGGGGCAGGGAGAGAGAGAGGGAGACCCAGAATCTGAAGCAGGATCCAGGCTCTGAACTGGCAGCACAGAGCTGGATGTGGAGCTTGGACCCACGAACCACGAGATCATGATCAGAGCCAAAGTCAGATGCTTAACCGACAGTGGCCCCTGTTTCTGTTTTTAATGTTTATTTATTTAATTTGAAAGAGAGAGCAAGTGGGGCACCTGGGTGGCTCAGTTGGTTGAGCGTCCAACTTCGGCTCAGGTCATGATCTCACGGTTCCAGTCTCAGCCTCGCTTCGGGCTCTGTGCTGACAGCTCACAGCCTGGAGCTGCTTCGGATTCTGTGTCTCCCTCTCTCTCTGCCCCTCCCCCAGTCATGCTCTGTCTCTCTCTGTCAAAAATAAATAAACATTAAAAAAAAATTTTTTTTGAAAGAGAGAACAAGTCAGTGTAAACAGGGGAGGCACAGAGAGAGACAGAGAAACCCAAGCAGGCTCCATGCTGTCACCGCAGAGCCCAATTTGGGGCTCTATCTCATGAACTATGAGATCACAACTTGAGCTGAAATCAAGAGACGCTCAATGGGCTGAGCCATTCAGGTGCCCTGTTTACGTTTTTTGTTTTTCAGTAGTTGCTGTTAATGGCCTTTTCCACTCTGTTGACGTTTGCACTAATGGTACAAAAGCAATGCAGAGTAAAACTGTTACACCCTGTGCAAAACTCAAGGCAGGGGCATTAAAACAAAGAAAACCAGTTCTGACTTCACAGACCCCCAAAAGGGTCTCACAGATTGCCCTCTTCCCCAGAGGCCTAGGAATCACACTTTGAGACCCACTGCCCTAGGGGGGTTACGACAGCAAAAGTAAAACAGCTCCTGGAGAGAACGGAGAACACGGGAACAATCTGGCCTGCTCCTTTGATCTATTCAGATCCAGTTCCAAGACAATGATAAATTATAATTATGTACTGAATTCTCCTCTGGAAATGAGAATACAACACAGGGTTTGGGACAGCCAGCCTCCAAGATGGCCTCCAAAGGTCCTCACGGCCTGGTATTTACCCTGCTGGTCAATATCTGTGTGACCAATAGAACAGATCAGGAAAGAGGTTCATTTCAGAGATTAGGTTGTAAAAGACACTACAGCTTCTATCTTGGTGTCTCTCTCTCCCTCCCTCCCTCTCTCTCTCTCTCTCTCTCTCTCTCTCTCTCTCTCCCCCCAATCATTCATTCTTTCATTCTGTGGGTAGCCAGCTACCAAGTCATGAGCAGCTCCACAAAGAGGCCCAAGTCCTTTTTTTTTATGTTTATTTATGAGAGAGAGAGAGAGAGAGAGAGAGAGAGAGAGAGAGAGAGAGCGCAAGCATGAACGGGGTTGGGACAGAGAGAGAGGGAGACACAGAATCTGAATCAGGCTCCAGGCTCTGAGCTGTGAGCACAGAGCCCGACGCAGGGCTCAAACCCATGAACTGCAAGATCGTGACTAGAGCCAACGTTGGATGCCTAACCAACTGAACCACCCAAGTGCCTCCAGAGGTCCAAGTCCTAAGGAACAGAAGCCTCCTGTGAACAGTTACTTGTGTGAACCTGGAAGCAGACTGCCTGGGCCCCAGTCAAGCCTTCAGGTGACTACAGCCCTGACAGACTGGCTACAACCTCATCAGAGACACTGAGCCAGAACCTCCTAGCTAACCACTCCCAGATTCCTGACCCTTGGGAACTCTGTGGGATAATAAATGTTTTAAGCTGCTAAGTTTTTTAAACAACATGAATAACCAATACACTCTCCTTCCCTCAAGAGTTCCAAATACCCACAGTTATCATGATAAGCACTGAGTATTGTACAGAAGTACTGAATCACTACACTGGACACCTGAAAGTAATATAACACTGTACATTAACTATACTGGAATTAAAATTAAAACCTGAATAACACAAAAGAGTTCAAAATTAGTAGTAATATTCAAGAGTATCAAAAAGTTGGGGCACCTGGGTGGCTCAGTCGGTTAAGCGTCCGACTTCGGCTCGGGTCATGATCTCACCGTTCATGAGTTCGAGCCCCATGTCAGGCTCTGTGCTGACAGCTCAGACCCTGGAGCCTGCTTTGGATTCTGTGTCTCCCTCTCTTTGCCCCTCCCCCACTCGTGCTCTGTCTCTCTCAAAAATAAACATTAAAAATTAAAAAAAAAAAGAGTATCAGAAGACAACAACAAAGGCTCAGAACAGGAAAATATTTTCTATGAGCTAAAGAGTTGAGAGGTTTCACGATGGAGCCAGAACTTCAATGGAGTCTTCAAGGAAAGGCAGGCTTTAGCTAAGTGGATACAAACACTCCAGGGAGGAAGAATCCAGCATGGCAATGTGACAGCTTGAAAGAGGAGAGCTCTTGGGCAAAGCTGGGAGATGATGTGGTAAATCTGAACACAGGTCAAATTAAAGAGGGCTCTGAATATAAGACTAAGTTTAGCTTTTATCTTGTAAGCAACAGGCACTGAAGGTTTCTGAACTGGGAAGTAATATAATTAAAGCTGTAATTATGAGAAAGTATTTAGAGCTCCCTCACCCCCACCCCACTGCCACGAGCTTTCTTTATGGAGAACCATTATTAATATACCTGTACTGGCCTAAGATATACCACATCTTAATCTCATTTTGATGAAGGTATGAATCACTAATAGAATAAAATGGTGTCTACAAAAATCAAATTCAAATGGAGAGTTAATTCTAGAATAATCTAAAAACTCTAAATTAGGGGCACCTGGGTGGCTCAGTCGGTTAAGCATCTGACTTCGGCTCAGGTCATGATCTCACGGTTCGTGAGTTCAAGCCCACCTCAGGCTCTGTGCTGACAGCTCGGAGCCTGGAGCCTGTTTCAGATTCTGTCTCCCTCTCTCTCTGCCCCTCCCCTGCTCATGTGCTCGCTCTCTCTCTCCCTCTCTCTCTCTCTCTCTCTCAAAAATAAACAAACATTAAAAAAATTTAAATAAAAATAAAAACTCTAAATTGTGTCCTATCTACCAGAGCATTTATAATTTTACTATTTAAATTGACATTTTAAAATTAATACCCTTCATTTTCAAAATCTTTGTGTGATCCCAGCCAAATTCAGTGTTGGCTAAACATATACTATGTTAAAATAAAGAATTATTTTAACTCTTAGTGTTAAACTCTGGCTACTCCCTAAGCAGGATCTTGGAAACACCTTTCTGTACTTCTTTGATATCCTCTTACTTGATATCAATGTTCAAGTCTACGATAACACCTTGACCTCTTTGGGGTAGAGATACTAGAAAAATTCAAATATAAAATTATACCAAGGTGCCTATGCTGTACTTAGGCTCACACTCTTCCCTGATTCTAAAGTTAATATAAGTCCTCATTTTACATTCTCTTCATTAAAAAGTCAAACAAAATACATGCCTCCAGAGGAATTTTTGGAAATATGACCACGGGCAGGATGGCATCTACTCTCACAGTAAATACTTACTGTGTGAGAACCGTTGAGTGATCGGGGTTCCAGGATAAGGGTAGGTCCGACTCTCCCATTGAATGTTTCCTTCCTGGACAGCCTTTATGAAACCATGATAACACTGGTGGGCTACACCTAAAGACAAAAATAACAAATGCTTCAGCCTGGATACTTCACTTTTCAACCAAATTATTAAAACTGCATCTATTAGCTGTCACATAACTTCTATAAAACCCAAGTTTCTTATTTTTCATTCAAAGTAAGAAACAGAATTTCAAAAGTAGAAGATCCAATCCTTTCACTTTACAAAGGCTCAGGGTGGCTAAGTGTTACAACGGTCAAGGTTACAAAATCAGCTCACACTATAACTCTGCTCCCCTTTATGTCATATCTTAAAGCAACACATTAAAATAACTGGTAGAGGCACCTGGCCGGCTCAGTCAGCAGAGCATGCGACCCTTGATCTCAGAGACATAAGTTTGAGCCCCACGATAGGCATAAAGTTTACTTTAAAAATAAGTAAATAACTCGGGTGCCTAGGTGGCTTAGTCAGTTAAGCATCCAACTCTTGCTTTTGGCTCAGGTCATGATATTGTGGTTTGTGAGACAGAGCCCCAGTCAGGCTCCATGCTGACAACACAAAGCCTGCTTGGGATTCTCTCCCCCCGTCCCCCACTCACACTTTTTCTCTGACTCTCTCAAAATAAATAAATAAGCTTAAAAAATAAAATTAAAATTAAATTAATTTAAATAATTGGAATTGTTTAAACAAAGCAAAGGGACTGGGGGTAATTTAGCTTTGGGAGAAAGAGCACGGTAAAACAGCGTCTGGAATATAAAAAACAGGTGTTCATAAATGCCTATGGTTAGACCATGGGAACCAAGAAGCATATTCCATCTTAATAAATGAAGAGACAATAATTAGCTTACACTGAATTATGAAATGATGAATTTACAACTAAGGAAAGCTGTTTTAAAAAGTGAGCGCTTGTACTATAATGGTGGATACATATCATTACACATTTGTTCAAACCCACAGAATGTGCACCCCAATGTAAACTCTGGATTTCGGGTGATGATGATGTGTCCATGCAGGTCTGTCAACTGCAACAAATGCACCGGGGTATGTTGATAGTAGGGGAGGTTGTGGATGTGGGAAAACAGGAAATGTCTGACCTTTCTGCTCAATTTTGCTGTGAATCTAAAACCACTCTAAAAAATAAAGTCTATGGGGGCGCCTGGGTGGCTCAGTCAGGCGAACGTCTGACTTGGGCTCAGGCCATGATCTCACGGCTCATGATTTCAAGCCCTGCTTTGGGCTCTCTGCTGTCAGCATGGAGCCTGCTAGGATCTTTGGAGCCTTTGTCTCCCTCTCTCTGCCCCTTCCTAGCTTGAGCTCTCTTAAGAAAGAAAGAAAAATAAAAGTCTTTGTTTTTTAAAAGGTGAGAGCTTCATGTTTCTGGAACAATCTATGTTTTTAACACATGAAATGACTACCTTATTTCAAAGAGCAACATTTTGAATGAAGAGTACAATAATTTATGTTACACTTTGAAAGAATGTATCATTTTTAATTCATGTCACCTTAGTGGATCCTTAAGCAGGATCACAGTATTTAAAAATGTTTTCCAATGATGATTACTATCCTTTGGCTGAACTCACAGTTAAGAACTGGAATATTAAAAGACAGTCATCTTTAATGTGTGACTACAGTGCCAACTATGATGAAGAAAGTAACAGATTTGAAAATGTTGAATTGAGGTAAGGCAGTAATGAATAAGGGACAGATACATAATGATAGAGAGGGGGAAAGAAGAAGCTATCCTGGCAGTGACTTCCTTCTCCCAGAAGATCTAAGACTGTGAGTGCTAGGTTAGGGTTCCTCCCTCTTTAAAATAAAAAAGTGTGTGTGTGTGTACAAATGTATGTATATGTATGTATGTATGTATGTATGTATACATATATGTATGTGCATATACATACATATGTATATATACATACCATATGCACATATCTATGTGCATATGTTATATATATATATATACACACACATACATACATATCAAAACAGTAAGAATGCCATATAAAACCAAGAATAAACTCGTAACTTTGATTAGTTCATAGCCCCTCATCTGTGATTCTTCCACCTCTATTTTAGAGGTGAAATCATCTATTTTCACAGGGTAAGCATTCAATCTCTACTGAAGGGTCCATTAAATCTGCAAAGAGAAAGCAAGCATTACCAGTTGTAAGCAGATGAGCACAGGACCCAGCAAACGGTTTCAACACAGCTGGTCCTCAGCCTTCTAGGTTGGGTTCTGAGCAATTGACAATGACCCCATGCCCCATGAGAACCACCCTGATGAAAGGAAATGATTTTAAGACTGATTCTGATCTAAAGGTTTTTTCCTGTCATATTTCTGACTGCCTGTTCCCACTAGGAAGGAACAAACTGCTTGATCAAAGTTTATTCAACTGGCTTGGTCTTCATTCAAAAATGGGCCCTTTCCAGTTAAAATGTAACTGTAAATGTAAAACTGTAAATGTAAAAAAAATAACTGCTATCTATTAAATTAAAAATACACCACCCCTGGTAAGTACAACATTTAGCTAAAGTTGAAAACTTGATTAGAAAATGGAAGACGGGTGTGTGGGTGGCTCAGTCTGTTAAGCTGCTGGCTCTTGATTTTGGCTCAGGTCACGGTTCTTGGGATCAAGCCCTGAGTAGGGCTCTGTAGACTGACAGTGAGGAGCCTGCTTGGGATTCTCTTTCTCCCTCTGACCCTCCCCAATTCATGCTCACTCGTGTGTTCTCTCTCTCTCTCCCTCTCAAAATAAATAAACATTGAAAAAAAAACAAAAGCAGGGGTGCCTGGGTGGCTCAGTTGGTTAAGCATCTACCTTCAGTTCAGGTCATAATCTCATGGTTCGTGAGTTTGAGCCCTGCATCTCTGCTGTCAGCACAGAGCCTGCTTCAGATTCTCTCTTTCTCTCTCTCTCTCTCAAAAATAAATAAATGTTAAAAAAGAGAGAGAGAGAAAAATGGGGAGAAAAAGAGGAGAAACTCATTTTTAAAAGTACAAGAGGGACGCCTGAGTGGCTCAGTTGGCTAAGTGTCCGACTTCGGCTCAGGTCATGATCTTGCGGCCCATGAGTTCGAGCCCCTTGTCAGGCTCTGTGCTGACAACTCAGACCCTGGAGCCTACTTCAGATGCTGTGTCTCCCTCTGCCCCTTTCTCACTCACATTCTGTCTCTTTCTCTCGAAAATAAACATTAAAAAAAACATTTTAAAAAGTAAAAGATATGCATAGAGCCTTTATCACTTAGAGATAAAATAAAGCAGTAAATACTTGCACAATCCCATATTTGCCACAATTAGCTACTTTAATAAACAAAATGATATCCTCTTAACGAACACGGACACTAAAGCCAGACTGCCTGAATGTGGATCTTCCATCCCCCGTGATACCCGTGTGACCTTGGGTAAGTTACTTAACTGTGCCTCTCACACTCTTGTTTCTTCACCTGTTCAGAGTTTTCTGTGAGGATAGTAAAGCAGTCACAACAGTGGCTGACAATGGTAAGAGGTATATTAACATTAGCTGTACTGTTATCCCACATCCGTCCCTGCTTCGTCTGTTCAAGAACAACACAATTTACCAGACCAACTCTAAGAATATGCAAAAAAAGAATCCACATTTTAAAACGGCAAGTTGGATCAAATACTACGAAACCCAAGCTGTTCATAAAACTAACCAGAATTAAGAGAAAAGGAAAATGTACAGTTAATTGTCTAACACTAAATTTGAGAACCACAATAAATTTAAGGGAGAAAGGAGAAAACGAAACTGGGACCTTAAAAATAAACCATTAAAACAAATTTAAATAGATAAATAAGCCTTCCACGTTGCACAGTACCTTTGATAAGTCGATACCACTGTTTGCAGACAAGGGCTGCAGTTTTGTGTTCCTGGTATGGTGAAAGAAAGGACAGGATATACTCCAAAACCTCTTCTGGCAGCTCAGACATGGGCCTATTATGTCTAGTCTCTTCAACCTCCAGTACTGGGTGGGGCTCCTCATCTTGCTCCATTGTCCCTTCCAGCACAGTTTCTTCCTGGTCCACGGCCATGAAACTGTCATCTTCACTGTCCGAGGAGCTGGCCATGACATTCCACTCAACAGCTATAGTGGGAAATGAACAAACATCAGTATACACTGTCAGAAGCTCTGAAATAACTCAGGCACATGCATCCAAGCTGCACACGATATTTTCTAGACCCTCGGTGTGAAATCTGTTCTCCAGCACTTTCCCACACTAGTTGAGAGCCACCTTAATTTGACAGGTAGAGCTCAAATACCAAGCCCATCCCAAATATCTAACAAATCCCTAAAGGCTTCTTTATTATTATTATTATTATTATTTTTTTTTGAGGCTTACTTATTTGAGAGACAGAGAGAATGCATGCAGGATGGGCAGAGAGAGCGGGAGAAAGAATCCCAAGTAGTCTGCACACTGTCAGTGTGGAGCCAATGCGGGACTCGATCCCAGGATCATGACTTAAGCTGAAACCAAGAGTAAGACACTCAACCAACTGAGCCACCCAGGCACCCCTAAAAGCTTCTGATTATATTTTTTCTCTCCACTGTAAATCAGAATGACAGCCGAGTTCTGGCATAACCATAAAACACGAAAGTTGTTCTGTAACAGCTCCTCTAAGGCAAGCATCTGACTGGCAGACAGCAAAAGGAACAGCAACTAAACTCCCTTGGCCAGTAACATGATTCAAGACCTCAGACTTCAAAGGAAAAACTAACTGAGGGTCCTATAAAGAGTAGTAAGAACATTCTGAGGATGTGGATTAAGAAAAGTTTTTCTTACAAAGTCTTCTTACATAAGACAATTCACTTACAAGGATAATAAACGTTCCAAGAATAGGCTTACCCAGCTAAAATACCAAATACTAGGCAACATTTGTATTAGAAAACATCAAAACAGATCTAGGGAGTAAGAAACCAGAAATAATATATATGCCCATCAACAATGTTACAGATAAATTGTGGTCCATTCACACAATGGAACTTCTGCAAGACACCCACACAGGTAACTCTCAAACACAACACTGAACCAAAGACAGAAGAGTGAATACTACATGGCCACGCTTATATCAGATTCAAAACCAGGTAAAATTAATTCATGCTCTTCAAAGTGAGTGCCGCAGGGGTGCTGGTGAAGTTGTTTCCTGATTGGGTAATGTTATACGGATATGTTCACCAAGATGAGCACTTAATGTTTAATGCACTTCTCTAAAGTTTATCAAAATAAGCCATTATCAAGTTACCTCTTGTGAAGGTATTTAAAAAAATCATTATGATTGAGTTTTAATTTCTCTATTCCCTAAATTTTCTAGAAAGAGCACAACATGTTGAAATATACATGCAGAGGCAGGCAACTCACTCACACCATTCCCATGATGTTTCATGCACAGCCTGGGGTAAAAAACAGTAAAATGAAGGGAGTAGGGTGATTTATGTAAGAAGTGTGTCACAGGTTATATTATCCAGGAAGCAAATGCTAAAAAAACAAAATTCGGAATGAAAAAATGTTTCATGGGGAGAAGTTTTGTGAGTAGAAAAAAGAAGGAAGCAGGACTGGGTGGGGGGAGCAGAGTGTGATGCAGATTTGACAACACTTGGAACAAGGCGGCCATTTAGAAGGCTCCAGAATGCAGCATATCTGTCATTGCTCTGCTCAGCCACTGGCTGGGGGGCTGCTCCAAAGCTGAGGCTGACCCTGAAGAGACTAACCGCTTTCTTCAGTTACACTCCTTACAGATGGGCAGGAAGTCTTTTCTTGAAAGGACATCTGAGTTTGTTTTCTTATTTTCTAATACACCTATTCCCCTTGACCACACATACCTACCCAGACCATTCACTATGCCATTCACCTTACAAATTTCCAGCATTGCCTCTAGCACTGATGTAAAGAACAAAAAATAATGGGAAGAGAAGAGTGATTCTGAAATACACTTGGGGTTTTGAGAAAGATTTGAAATGTTCCAGGGGCACCTGGCTGGCTCAGTCAGCAGGGCATGCTACACTTGATCTCAGGGTTGTGAGTTCGAGCCCCACGTTGGTTACAGAGATTACTTAAAAAAATAAAAAACTTTTTTATTATAATTTTTTAAAAAGAGAGATAGGGCAGGGGAGGGGGCGGGGGGGGAGGGGGAGAGAGAGAGAGAGAGAGAGAGAGAGAGAATCTTAAGCAGGCGTGGAGCCTGTTGTGGGGCTCGATCTCATGACCCAGGACTATGACCTGAGCTAAGATCAACAGACGTACACTCAACTAACTGAGCTGCCCAGGCACGCACCCCCAATAAAATCTTTAAAAAACAAAACAAAACAAAACAAAACAAAACGAACAAAGATCTGAAATGTTCCCAAAGGTGAGGGGGACAAGGAAAGCAAAGAAGGGAAGCTTCCCACCTCACCTTGCCACTCCTATAAATCATACAGGAAATCGCGTACATCTTAAGAACTGGAAGGATGATCACATTAAGGAAAATGAAAACATGAATCAAGTCATGAAACTGCTTCCAAGAAACTCATCTATCAAATTAGCTCATGATAAGACAATGCATCCTGGCAGAGTGGCTGCTGGAGTCCTGCTGATGGTGAAGGACTGGTGGCGAGCTATACACATAGTGGGGCAGCCGAAATCCCCCCCCTCCCCCGTTGGGGCAGCAGCAGAGGAAGGTGGTGGCAATGTCTTCCACTCCCCTGCAGCAGGGAAGAAGTGTTTACTGTAGGTTTACTGTAACCATAGCACATAAAGGATCCTAGATAGTTGCTCCCCACTTTGGGTGAGCGGTTCTTCCACATGCTTAACTTGCTAGAGGAGGTCTTTCCATTTCCAGGTCCAACACCTACCCGAAAGAGTACAGTTTGGGGTACAATATAAAACAAAAATTAAAAATTTTTTCTGGGGGATAAAAAAGGTACCTTTTACTACTGGAAAAAAATTACTTCCCGTATTCCCTCTTTTTCTCCCCTCTACAAGTTATCATTTCTCACCTCTCACTGGCTATCTTCCCTAATTTATTGACTTTCTCATATTTTTAACTCCCACTCGGCTCTGGAATTCACCAAGGAAAAGAGTCCAAAGAAACAGATTCCTTAAGTTTGGCTGCATCTTTCACATTTGAATTAAACATAGGATCTCAAATATAGTTGTTCTTTACTCAACAACTCGACAGACTGTGAGATTAGGGTCTGCTTCAGAACAAACTGAATCAATGAAGACTGAAAAAGGTTATTTGTATAATACTATTTTTCCCCCAAGCAAAATAAATTTGTTTGGCTCAATAAAACAACTTCTTACTCCCTTTAGTAAGCCTACATAAAGGGATGCAAACTTTTGTAATGCCCAGTTTTAAGTAACTCTCACCATTCAACCATTTTACTGTCCACAAAAGCACCAAACCCGATGCTCCTGGGGGCATGTTTGCGAACTTGGCCTTGAGCACAAATGCCAGTGAGAACACACAGGGATGGGCTCAGATGTAATTCCTTGTAATTACACTTCCAGCACCAATTTGCACGGTCCCTCATTTTCACTTCCATGATTAGGTAATGAAATCATCACTCACATTCCCACAGGATATGGAGGCATTTTGAAACAGTTTTTTTCATGCCAAAAGAAGCCCTATAAAACATTTCACATGCAATTGTTGTTAACTCACCGAATGTGGTTTTCATGAAGTATTTATTATTTTTTAGGATTTTATTTTCAAAGTAATCTCTACACCCAGTGTGGGACTTGAACTCAAGACTTGCATGCTCTACAGACTGAGACAGCCAGGTGCCACGGTTTTCATGGAGTCTTTATTTATTTATTTATTTTTTAAAGATATATATATATATTTTTAAGTAATCTCTAGACCCAACATAGGGCTCAAACCAACTCCGAGATCATGAAGTCTTTAAAAAAAAATCTTCCATACCCTTCACGTTTGTGTGAAGCCTTCTTAGTTTCCCCAAGTTTTGGGGACAAACATCAAACGAAGTCGGTTTACTGGAATCTGAGCTTCTTGAGGGCAGAGACCATTTGCCTGGCCATCTTGTCTCGCTAGCACTAGACAATCAAATTCGCACAAGGACTCACAACACCCTTGTGCTGACTTCCTGTTATTTTATAATCGAATACATCGTCAGTACATCCAGGAGTAGCAGACCCTACCCTTACATGTTACGGGCTGCTGTCAAGGTATTTTATTGGTCAGAATGGACATCTCTCTCTGGTCCCTTGAATTTTGGCCTTTTAAGGTGTATACTGGCCTGTGAGTCTGCTGCCGGACTCCTGAGCCAGACCCAATGACCCTTGGCTAGGTCAAGATGGGTGGTACTAGAGAAACCATTTATTTGGCCCAGTAGTATCACTACTATACTATACTATACTATACTATGCTATACTATACTATACTATATACAGTATACTACCAGACCACATCCAACTGAATACAAATCACTTTCAAAAATCCAAATGCCCTGGGGCACCTGGCAGGCTCAGGCAGTAGAGCATGTGACTCTTGATGGCAGGGTCAAGCCCCGCATTGGGTGTAGAGTTTATTTACCAAAAAAAAAAAAAAAAAAAAGATCCAAATACCTTGCCCTTCTGAAGTATAAACTAAGGTTAAGATTCTGAGATGGAGAGTCTGCCTATATAATGCTGTGTGATCCAGGGTAAGTCACACAGAACAACGTGGGAAAACCCTCTTTACCCGTAAGTAATGAAAATTCCCTACCAATATGAAGATTCTATAATGGTAGCAGATATCAACAAACTACTCTGAACTCCTTGGAGGGAAGTGATTAACTTGGAAAGAGTTAAAATCAATTCACAGAAATTCAGGATGGGAACAAAACTACTTCGTTATCCATGTAAAAGTTATTATCAGATCCTAGTACAATATTTGATTAACTATGCCTTGGTTTCTGTACATTAGACATCTGACAATCCTTTTGGAGTAAACATGTCTTTATGGAAATCAAAATACACTTCACCTACCTAAAAGGAACCTGAAGATTTAAAATGCAATCAAGATTGGGGCCCTTGGGTGGCTCAATCCAGCACTGACAGACCGGAGCCTGCTTGAGATTCTCTCCTTCTCTGCCTCTCCCCGTCG